CACTATTTCCCACCAGAAATGCAACATTTTACAGTGTTTTGATGGATTACCTGACTGGATATACAGTCAAAGTTTTCATGATAACAGTTTGAGAAAATTTAGCAAATTGAAACTGAAAATTGAACCAAAGCAATAATAAGATACAGTAACTGCATCTGCTTCCTTTACTTCTGCTAGTTTAATACTTTACCCAGAATGCCTTTCGACTAATGCCACATTCACATGGTATCGATAAATTCCAGCTTGTAAATAAGGTTCTGGTTAAAATCTAAGTTGTAATCATAATGGGAGAATGCTTGGGTATATGGGCCATAAAACAGCCCCTACATTTTTCCAGTCAGCTGAGGTATTGTTCATTTTCTTATGTGTCAACAAGTCTCCTGCTTGTTAGGCTAAATAAACCATAAAACCACTGGACTGTTTGTCTTTAGTCAGCAACGCTGATAAAATGTAGGAGAGCTATGGATTTTATATAGATTTATAACATGTAATTCTGCATTATTTGACATGGATGACAAAGACGCCAAAGATTCTGGCCTGCTGGTTGTTGTTTCTTTACCTGACTAGTCATTAAATTGCCCACAGCAACAGGTGACGTCTCTGTCCAACAGTGTTTAAAACCCACATATATGCAGTTAACAGTGATGTGACAAAGACAGCCTTCTTATTCTGGAGCCTGATGTGTTTGACGTTTTGCACCGGTTTTGCTCAGTGAAACAGTGTCGTCATGAACAATATTCACAAGCCCGAGCCTGGTCATTATGGCTCCTCCCATTTGATGTGAACGCAGCATCAATCTGTTTTCTGTAAGGACAATCATTCTGGGCTACACTTTGTCCTGCTGAGTCACTTGTTGCTGTCGTTCTCTGTTTACAATTCTCCACAGGCCAGAGAAAACATCCGCACTGGATTTCATCTATCTTTGGGATCCTCGAGAATACGGCATCACAGATGGGTTTACGGACAGTATTCATATTTGTTGTGGTTGCTACTAAGATTTTGCTGCTTTTAAAATCCGCTGCAAATGTTTTATTCAAGAAAAAAGTTCAGAAGTGATAAAGACTAACATGATAACAACAATATAAAAAGCAGATTTTACAGTGAGTGATTCTCACAGTTTGAGGCTTACATCGCCCTGCCTGTTAGGGCTGCATGATTAATTGCATCGTGAGCGTGATTCAGATCCCTGTGCGATCTCAGTCTCACGTGACAATGATTCTGCTGTGTTTGCATTCGCAGGAAGATGCTTTGCATCAAACCAATCGCTCCCTTTTCTTTGATACGCTGCCCTAACCAATATCAGGAATGAGATACATCATGTGATGAGCTGTAGGCAAGAAGAGAAGACTTCTTTTCAATCTAGGTGATGCTGAGTCATGTTTTTAAAAGGCACTTGAAATTTCCACCCCCTTATAAAGTTGTGAAGTGGTCATTTTCCCACACCTTTCCCTATT